ATGGACAACATGCCCACATGCCATTCAGACATGTGGAATGGATCTGTGGGAATATGTGTTCAGTGTAGGTAGGTTTTCCAAACAAAGAGTATAAAAGTGTTCATTATAAGTTAAATAATGACAGCTTTTGTAAAATCCCTACTGTCCTACCAAAGATTAACCTCTAGGTGAGCTTTACTATAAGAAACAGATTTGTTCTCCTTACAAACTTTGAAGCAGGGGAAAAGTCGGCTGTTTATGAATTACCTGTGTTTCTTTTCTCTGCTCCAACAACTAAATAAAACAAACAAAAACAAGCAGCCAGACAAACAGAAGCAGTAACAGTGAGGCTGCTTTTAGGGATGCTGCTGCCTCCACCTGAGGAGACAACAGCAAACAAACGTCACATCAAGCCAAAGCTGCTGCTCTCGTTTCTGGGATGAGCTTCATCAGTGCTCACAGCCACAGAGTAGACATCTGACCTGCCCCCCCCAAAATAAAACCTGAACCTGTGTCTCATCTGAGCTTTTTCACAGCATAAACTGACTAAAAACAGTCAAACTTCCTGTCCTCCCTCTCCTTATTAAACTGCCTAAGGGAAAGTTAATGAACACATACTGCAGTTACATAATGTGGCCCCTGGGTGTCTCTGTTCACCACAAACTTTATGGAGGGAAACAACTGTCAAAAGTTTCATTGGTATTGTTATATCCACATAAATGTTGAACATAAACTCTGCTGCTGTTTGTGCAGAAGCTAATGCAGACTGTCTCCAAAAGGGGAGTCCCTCTGATAACCAGCCAATAGTTATTTTCAGATGATGATGTGGTTATTGGTTATTATTTAATGAACAGTTTTCATTTCATTTCCAAGTTAAGATACAACCGTAGTTCCATGGTTTATTTTATTCTTAATATACAGGCGTGAACATCCATATACGTATATGAAAAGCCCAGAGAGGCGGTTTGAGCAAACTCAAAGATTACAGCAGAAAAGTAACACGTTTCAGAGGAACTCTGACCTCAAACCTGAAGTAAAACTGGAAATGTACCTGTTGCTGCTAGTACTGTTTGTTTTTTTTATTGTAGAATACAAGTAACAAAAAACAAACAGACAGGGCACACCCCTCAAAAGGAGGACTGGACACAACCAACTCCTATTGGCTAGTTACCTCAAAGACTAACAAGCCGGGTCCTAATTCATGTTCATGACATTGGAATGTGGTACCAAATAATGTGTGTGTTTGTGTTGACTTAAAGACCTGTATCTAAAGCAACAGAGAAAGAAAAGGAGAGGAAGGAAAGGAGAGAAAAGAGAATCTGTGGTTACAGCCAGATAATTCAACACAAAATATAGTTATAAAAGAAAATAAAACAATCAGTAATCTACATAGATCATGTGATAGCATACTATGCTAAAATGAGTATTTTTAGACAAATCCTAACAGGCAGCAACTTTTTGTTTTCAGGTTTAAGAACTGAGAGTAAATGAGTCATTCCCTTAGTCTGCAGACCGTAGGCGTGTTGTTCTGCTGTAACATGATCCACACAGGCACACCTGTACAGGTAGGACTGGTTTCCACATTCTAACGCTCATGAACTGGACGGAGGCGACGTTTTCCTCTCACGCAAACCAGAATATGAAGGTAAATTATTACTTTTTATTGCTTTAATATGTTTTACTGGCTAAAATCAGCTGTTGTAAACAGATATCTACATTAATTGTCTGTTTAATAAAAGTCCACAGCTCCTGAAATAGCAGATGTTCTG